TTTTATTTATATGGTGTTACTGCACTCTGCGGTTATTGTTTGCCACACATATTGCACTTTGCAGTTACAGCTGCCAGTTTGAGTAAAGCCCTAACCAAGTGTGAAATTGTGTACCTACTTTAAGCAAACCTACTTTCAGGTGTTGTGCAGCCCTGACAGTCTTGATGTTCCTGCCTGTGGCAAGCAGACACCTGAAAACCAATCAGTCATTTCAGGATTTTGATCACGTACTTTTAGTAGTTGAAAGATGATGAAAGAGTAAACGCTGACATAATTCATTAAGTATTTGAATGTATTTTAGTATTCGGTGCCACAGCTATGATTCGCTGGGTGCCAGCCTCTGACCTTCTACTCTGGATAGTTTCTGTTCTCTTCCATCTCCTCAAACTTTTATCTATCTACCTGGTGTACTATTCTTATCCGTTATCCGTATCTTGATCAGTCTTATGCTATTATCGTGATCTGCTGTTAATCGGACGCGCAGAGGCGCGGGGGGCGGCGCGGTATCTATCGTGATCCTATCTTATCCGCTATCGTGAATCGGTTAATTCTATCGGGTTTATCGGTATGGTGCTCTATCGTGATCTATCTATCTATCTATCTTGGAGTACCTACAAATATATATTCTTTTAGTTTTTTCTGTGTTTGTTGTAGTTTAATACATGGGGTGAATTTCCACAGTTACAGTTTCATGTTGGTTTTCTTACAAGAGCTACTTTCAGCTTATTCTGTCCAGCCAACATAGTCCAAATAAAAGAGAGGAGATAATAAAAATGTTGACATTTACATCTCAGTCACCTCCAGTTATTACCATGCACTCAGAGCAATAAGCTTAAGAAGCTGCAGTGAGTGTTGCAGCGAATGGTTTGTGAACCTCGGGTTTTGCTTTGTCAGGCTACTTACAGGCTGCCCTACCTTGCTAGTAGAGGTTGTTGAGATGTACATAGCCTAAAAGGAATACCTGCAGATTCTATTCAAAGCTAAAAAAAAAAATACTGTTTTTTTGGAGTAAAAATGCAAATACAACATTGTTATTTCTGTCAAGGAAATCTAACACAATTTTAAATATGGTTACTGCAACAGTACAACAGAGACACATATTTTTTATATACTACTAATATTATGGAAAACACAACAATCATTGTCATCATAATTTGTGCTAGATGGATTTATTGCAAGTGTAACTGTAACTAAAAATACAGGTTAAATTATATTTTATTTACTGAGAAAGTAGGGTTGATAGATTATATTTTTTATTTATTTACTTCATCTCCCCCACTTCTGAAACCAAGTCTATACCCTTAAATAAAGGTATTGCTAATTATAATGATCTTCATCTCTCCTCTTTCTCATCTCACCCTTTTGCTCTCTCTCTCTCTCACTGCCCCCCCCCCCCCCCCC